CAGCTAACTTCATATAGATCCCATTAGACAACTGGATTTACAACAAGTTTTGTTTAATAAGAAATGGGCAAAGCCAGCTTCTTTTCAGAATCAAAATGCAGAACAAATGGAAAAGAAATTATGGTGTTGTACCTTCACAAGTTTGAGCCTCCACAAATAATGCAACCAAGTTTTACAACTTTAAGAGCTTCTACATACACTCCACCTTCACTACTTAGCCCCAGGTTTCCTCTTTGCCCCCAACATCTTATTGAGTTCCAAATGTTACAAAAAAGTCCTAGTTATTGCCAGAAACTTTTACCTCCCCCTCCTCCCCTCCCCACCCAGAAACTTCATAGGGAGGATGGAGTGTAATATGGAGCTTTACATGATCTCATGGTATTCACGAGGGCTACTAAGAAGCCTCTGTATGAATCTGGTTGCTAACGTTTCTATCGTATTGTGACATGACTCACGACTGTTTCTTAGAAATTGGGGGATGGGGAAAAAGGAGAAAATTCTTTAATAAAAAGACACCAGGTACAAAGCAACGTTTTACTTTTGTTGTGGTAAAAAAAAAGTCACATTTTACAGATAAAATGTAGAACCCTGAAATACTGACACATTCTCTTATCGTGCACAATGCTGAGGTTCTCTTACGAATCACTTTAAAACTGCAATTAAAAATGTACAAAAAAAGAAAAGAAAAAAATCAACCCACAAAGCTTCTAAAAAAGGAACCCGCAGGCACTTCCTCTTGTGGAATGTTTAAAAAGTTAGCCTACTAAAGAAAACAGTCGACTTCTTGTGAAGGTTTTGGAGAAATATGTATCAGTTCATTTATTTGGGTATTCAATAATATCCTTGGTGATAATGCTGACTCCATGGCTTCTGACCCCAGAATTGCTGCAATAAATGGATAAATAGTTAATTTTAACCTGTAATCACATAATTGTTAAACACTTCTTTTCCTGTAAGAAATGTAACCAACAACTAGTTCTCCTGGAACTTGAGAAGATTAAAGCCCTCTCAAATAGCAGCAAGTTCCTGAACAACTGAAGGCAGTTAAGTTCACTTCACAGTAGTAATGTGAAGCCAAATACTACATACCATTAAGACTGATAAGCCATAGCTGACATTTGATATATCAAGACCGTCAAGCCAGATGAAGCTTTCCACAGAAAACTATTTATAGTGATATTACTTAGCTTTAGAAGATTTTGCTATCCAGTTTTCATTACACATCTAGTTATTTCAGACAACTTTGAAACATGCAAGTTAACAATCAGTGAAAAAGTCAAGTTACAACTACTTACACCCTGCTGCCACTGGTTGTAGCCCTGAGATTGGTTTTTGTAGCCACGATTATTTCCCCTTCCTCTGAAGTTCTGTAAGAGGACAACAGTTTTTAACTACTTCATCTATACGGATTTTTCAGAGGTGTACTAATACCAATCTTTCTATTTCCACCAAAACATCACATACCATAGAGAATCTTTCAAACACAAGGTTATCAGGCCTACGTTAAAAAAACAAACAAAAACATCCCTAAAACCGCTAGCATACCAAAAGCCCCCCCCCCCCCCGAGTAACTGCTTCTTAAACACAGGGCAAGAATCTCAGAATTAATAAGACAGCTCAAACTGTAGTTGTCAGTGGTCTGGAAAGCTGGCTAATCCAGTTTCGACTCACCCTATTTCTAGTTGCTAAACTGCACCAGGACAACTAAAAATACAAGAGCTTGCCTATTTTTAGTTAGGAAGGGCTGTAGTGGCTACAAGGATGTGCTATCTGATCAGACAAAAGGATATGGGTCATACAACTGATAATAGAAGAGCTAGTCCACAAAGCTTCAAATAAAAGCTATGGTGCAAAAGGGACACTGATACTAGTAGATAAAACATTGCATTCCCCCTGTTTGTCAGTCTTAGACAAACCTGAGCCATGTTTACTAGCTTGGGCTCCATCTGCTGGCTCTTCAGTAATCCAAATTACATTTTCAAATACTTCCACTGATATTCCATCAGTTAAGACCTAGGCTACTATGTCTTTACTAGTTATGTTTGATATCAGATACCAAAACAAAGACTCTCTCCAGAGCTATTTCCAGAAAGTTCCCCAAATGCTTGATAAAGACACACCTTGGCCCTAAGGCCAAACAGTTACTGCTATTTGGAGGGGAGAAAAAAAGAAAAAATCAAATACAAGCCTTCACACACATGCCCTAAAAATCTTCATCTTTAACAGGACAGAGGTACAGTCTTAACATGGAACCCCCACATCAGCATCAGAACTGCTTTAGCAAGGTTCAGAGCCCCGAGCACATACACTAAACTAGAAAGCTAGGCCTCTTAGTGTGGGATTAGTGTAGTGCCACAACCAAGTTTGTGGCTATTCACAGCCACCATACCTTTCAAACACCACCATCCAAAGTACTGCAGTTCAACTAATAAATCCCGCCCCAAGCATCACCTGGTTGTAGTTTCCCCTGTTGGGCATTCCACCTCTGTTATAGTTCCCTCTGTTTGAGTAGCCACCTCTGCTTGGAAAGACAGGGCCACGAGGATACGGGTAGCCAATTGCACCGCTGCTGCCACCGCCACCGCCACCACCTCCACCACCTCGCTGAGGCATGTTGCCTCCCCTCCTGTTGTATCCACCACGATTGCCAGGGACTGCAGAGAAAGAGAGAGTTACTGCAATCAAGTAATTGTTAGGTCTTAAGTATTTCTTACCTGAACATTATTGTTCAAAACAATGATGGTATAGAAGACATCCACATTCAGTGCAAAAATTTCAGCGCAAAGATTGAAGTCATCTGGTCATAGTGAAAAATGGTAGTTTAACCATGCACACACACACACCCCCCCCCCAGTCTGGTACACAAGCAAACACCAAACCTAACAAAGCCTTGAAGCTGTGCCTCAAACCACATGAATAGTGTAATCCAGGATTTTGACAATCCCCACTTTTAAAGTTGGACAATTAACCTAGCACTAATAACTTGAAGTGACTGAAGTTGAAATCAAGGTCCCCACTACATAGTTGCAAATGCAAGTACTACAAGCTTTTTCCCCCCCCAGCAGCAGCAACCTCCAAAATTTACAGGCTTATTTCTAGGCTCACCTCCTCCTCTGAAGTTGCCACGCATGTTGAATCCTCCACGTCCTCTCTGACCCCTATTAAATTGATTTTTATTGCTCTTCTTGTTCTTCTTTGAGCCAGTGTTCTGTTTCTTTTCTGGTGGAAGAGATTTCTTACTTTCTTCTTTATATTGTTCCAAAAGCTTCTGAGCTTCTTCTTTTTGCAACTCTACATAGATTATTTCATCAAAACATTCTGCTACCTCTGGCAGTGTGAAGTTCCCTATAATTGCAAAAACACTGAGTATTCAGCATCTACATTCAGCTACAATCAAAGCCGCAATTTAACCACCTTTCTCCCATTCTTCCTCCCACCCCCTGCATTCCCTCAGCATAGGGACAAGATTACGTAATTCGAGCATTTAAGAAATATAACAGTGACAAAAGAAACAAACAGGTCTTCATGGAGTTGCCAGTACTGTTCCAAACCTTGAAAACATTCTGCCTATATCTTTTTTCTTTTATAAGCCTCCACTCAGAATACCAGTTTCTGCCAAATATGTCACTTATATAGGGCACTTTATGCCAAGACAGCTTTGTGCATCTGCATGAAGCATATCAGCATAACTGAGTAGTGTTAAGGACTGCAGCAGAGGGAACACAATATAGTGTTGTCCTACAAGTTACAATAGTCTTCCAGTTTTGTTTAAGTACAACTGTTTAAGATAAAGTGATTTTTTTAGAATTCACGTTTACTTAATCCTTTAAACAGATACTCAGCATCCTAAAACACAGTATAGGATTATGTTCCATGCCTTTCATTTTGAGAACTGCATGCTCTGGAAGATCTTTTCCCTCCACCTCTGCCTTCTTTTGTGTTCTTTGCTTGTAGTCTTCATCTTTTGGGCAAACAACAACTGCTTTGCGCTGGAAGCCTGCAAACAGGCACATTTTTCTCCTCTGCGCAGCTGCAGACACATTTGTCTGAAAAAAATGCAGTAACTTACTACACGTAGCTGTCATTGTAAGAGTTAAGGAAGTCAACTTATGGTGTATAGACTTCACCTCTACAAGAGCTTGCAATGAAGTTTACAAATAACTGGACATAAAGATGCTGCATAATGCAAAGTTACGAGCTCATATCCACGTGTTAAAACACTATTCCTCCCACATCCCATAAATCCAGAGAAGTTCAGACAAGCATTTGTAGTAATATTTCAACTTTGTGTCCCCTGAATGAGTAGTAAGTGAAACAACTGCTATTACAATGTAACTTTAATCCCATTTAATTACTGCACTACAGCCTATAACAAATTTCCTTAACCATTTTTCACTGAAGCTTCTACCTGATCCAAAATGAAATTCCGCTTCTTACGAGCTGCAATCTCAATGAACTTTCCAAGACACTGTGGAGCTCTCTGCAACAGCGTGTTAAGTTTTCCAGTATCTGCCATCTGCCGCTTAAAACCTGCAACCTAGGGAGAGAATTCCCAGAGTTAAAGTAGCCCTCATACATGCGTCTGACATTTTTATTTGCTAAATAAATGCTTTTCACCTCGCTTCAAGGATTGTTCAATTCCAGGTCATGGCTACAAACTCGTAACGGAAATTCCCAAAGCCTCCCTAAGACACAGAGCTTTATAAACAAAGAATCTAGGTGAATCAATACAGCCAGATCTAAGGTATACTCATCACATTACTAATTCAAAGCTAAATGTTCTGTTCTGAAGACAGTGATATGAAGAGAATCACTTAAATGGTCAACAACAGTTGACTATTTCTTCTATAGTACCACAAAAAGCTTCAGAATCCTGATGTGCCATGTATGAGCAGCAGCTCAGGAAAAAAGTCTTTAGTGGTCATTAGCTAACCAGTAGCTGTTCTCTTTGATACGAAGGAGCCACATGGCAGCCAAAGACCTTGGATTTACAGCAAGTCTTTAAGATACCAACAACTAAAATGCCATATTATCACTTACCATCATTTTGTCCATAATAGTATTTGTCCCAAGAATGTTGTATTTCCCAGGATTTGCTGCTGCATGTTTGGTAACCCATGTAGTCTTGCCAGCTCCAGGCAAGCCAATCATCATCACCACCTATGACGACAGGTTCTATACTTGAGATACTAGTTCAAAGATTTTCTTTAATATGCAACAGACCAGCAAGCCTAATGGAAACTTGAGTGGTGGGCGTGTAGGTGAAGAGTCAGGGGATACCAAGTATTACCGCCCCCAAACAAAAAGGTCAGAGTTGTGTAACAGTCTGCTTAAACTCCACCACTTCTGTTCATCTATCTCAACAACTCTGAGATTATTGACCAAAAAAAACCTTACCTCACAATCTTTCTTTTGCTCAGGTCCCTTTGGTCCTCGGACCCTATCCTCCAGTGGGACCTTCTGGATGAAGGTATACTCTTCAGGTACAGGAAAGTAAGGTTCCTCCTTCTGACCAAAGTTGAACTCAACTGCACAGTTATGGCAGAGAACATGTGGGAAGAGTGGCCGCCCATCAAGAACTTCCTTACTTATTTTGAATGCAACACCAAGCTCTTGTCCATTCTTGGAATATGAGAGTTCCACTTCATCACCATCAAAATTCTGGTTTTCAGACAAAGCATTAGTTTGGACAAAATTACTCACCTTGCTCTATAAAGTTATATTAGTACTTTCACTAAATTGGCTATATTCACTCAACTGAAACACAGTTATAACAAAGGAACTACTTAAAAGTTTTCTCATAAAATGTGTTACTGTCAATGATGATCTTGTTTAAGATCTGATTTTTTAAAAAGGCTCTAAAGACATTTGTCTGAATAAGAAATCTCAACATGTTGACAGCAGTCACTGTTGATAAGGAGGAGGTAGAAATAGCAGGTACTATGTTAAAAAACTTGTCTTGCTCCAAGTTTTTCTGTATTTGATTTACTGGTTCTCACATCAAAGCAGTCTAAAAATTCAGGAATGTTTTTCCTCAAAAGAAAAATATAAGTGAAAACTTACAGCAAAACATCCAATCACATCATTTTCATCAAACTTCTCACCAAAATCTTCAGTCTCACAATTGCATGTCTTTATTCCTTTTAGAGAATACCCATAAGAAAATTCTTCTTCACCTGAAGAAATAATTTAAACTTATTAGAAGTAGGCATTTTTACCTAATCTTTTAGAAATACAATGACTTTACAGGTACTTAAGTAAGCAGCTGTTCAGAACATTTTTATCAGTACCAGAACAAGCTACACCCCTAAACAGCTCATTCTTGTAGTCAAGAATACTCTCACTTGAGATGGGACAGCAGTGTTTCTCCCATCCCCGTTTTAAGAGCCTTATGCTGCTGGTTCCAGATACATGCTGACATAAAGCTGAACTGGCAGATAAAGACATGAGTAAGTATTTTTAAACTCTGAAGACCTGATTATGCACTCGTATACCTGTAATGTAGTTAGTCAGAAAGGCTTTCTGAATTTAGTCTCCAGTAGCACTTACCCCTCCCCATTTTAATGGGAGTTTAGCAGACATTCAGCCTATGCGACAGCTGATGAAGCTGCAAGGAACAAGCTAACAGGAAGTGTCAAACACAAGGACTCTGGTGGAACTTAAGTACTTAACTAGAAAAAGCTGCTGCTGCTGTCAGAACATACCAATTCATATACATTTCCCAAAATGATATGTCTTAGCAGCAGGTATTAGTTACAAATAACTTTTTGATCGGTTCCCATATATCTAATGAAGTTGTACTTCTTTCTTCCTAGCTACTTTCAGAAATGACGATTCTCTCCCAAAGCCAAAAGAATGAGAGTTATCCAGGATTTTTATTTCATTGGTTAAACCCTATACCACACCCACCCTTAAAAAAAAAGGGCACCCCTCCCCCCTTCCTACCACACTACATGAAAAGGCAAAATCTTTAATCTTGTCAGGTCTTCAGGAGTGTTCTCCACAACCCATACTTGACCACTGGAAGAATTAACTCTCAAATCATGTACTCTTCACAGGCCTGAATACTTAACAACTTTATTTGGTCCCAGTAATAAATGTTCTGGCACCATGTCCAGTGAACAATTCAAGTTAAGACCACTTCTCAGAGCACATGGACTACAATCACTAGGCTTTTCCCATCTGCATAAGAAAAAATGATGCAAGACTTCAACCACATCCACAATAAATAATACAAAAGTAACCAAATGTTAAGTCTTACCAAGCAACATTCCACTTGTGTTCAGTGACCAGCCAACTCGCACTTCATGTATGTCAATGTCTTTTGTATACAGGTGTTTAACAGGAATCTTTTCTGTAACCTATTTTTAAATTATTTGTTAAAAGGTATGTAGTATTTATTAGACACAAGAAACACTAAGGTAACATCTGGAACCTTTACACTTTGATTACATCTTTGCTAAGTCTGAGTAATCACCTTCTGCAAAAATAAAGCATGCTTAAGTAGGTGAAACCACAAGCCAACGACTAAATAGTTACATCTCCTGTCTGAGCAATGAAGACGCAAGATACCATACAACTTTCAAATCACTTAGTCATAGCAGTCCCTCTCAGTAGCCAAAAGCTTTAATCCTTTTGATACTGTATTAAAGTCACAAACAAGATGTCTAAGTATTTTTTAAAAAAATCACTGCCATAAAGCTGGGATTAACAGTAAATTGCTTTGCCAATAAAATGTGGTAATGGATAAAAAAATGCTTTACATAGACTGGGGAAAATATGACACTCATTCCTTTCCACAGTAAGCAGACTTCCAGGGCAAGTTGCCAGCTTCCAAAAACATAACCAGATTAAAAAAAAACCCACCTAAAAGAACTAGAATCTGTAGACAACCAGCCGTTTTATAACTGCCTTCAAACTTCATCAAACTGAAGCAAAAAAACCAGATCAGCATCCTACCAGTTTCCACAACTATATGAGTCAGGTGACTGAAGCGAAACCCATTTGAGAGTGAACAGGGCAATAAATACTGACATCGATTTCACTTCATCACCCTTCCAAAGTTATAGGTACGAACAGACACAAACTCAATGCAAGAGCACGGAGAACAGGATCACTACACACTCATCATGGTAGTGGTTAGATTTGAAAGTACTAGAGGAAGAGAACAGAGTAAGCATTTATATATACAGGCACATCATATGCAAAGAAGCCTTTAACATCGCTAAGGCAAAAAAAAAAAAACGGCAAGCTTTATGCCTCCTGTTATTCTTTCATTAAGAAGTTGGAGAAATCTGTTTATTACAAGGCTGACTGCTCTTTGCCATTCTTAGCCTTTAGGAGAACTCTTGCTCTCACATTCACTATGTACACAAGCCAGAATTATTCTGGTTGGAAGTGACCTCCGGAGGTCATCTAGCCCAAATCCCTGCTTAGAGCACATCAAACTCACAGACCAAGTAGGAACAGAAAAGAAAATTCTGCTGGGGTAATTTATATCCCCTTTAAAAAAAAAAAAGCTTTCTGTAATCAAGCAAACTTCTGACTAGCGAGTATCAAAATTCTTTAAGTGTTGATGCAGGAAGTGCCAAAGAAGATTCTTGGTTCAAAAGTGAGACCAGAAGTTTCCCATTCAGGGAAAATGCAAGCTGCTTTTTAGATTTTTTTTTTTTTTTTGGTTAAATGGAAGTTCTTGTAAAAGAGGAACGAGTTTTGCAAATTGAACCATCTTTTATCAAGAATCATTTCACAGGCTTATAAAAGGCCTTCTGAAAGTCCTGTTCACCTGAATTAGTTTCAACTAAGTCCAAAAAACCTGACAAGTATAAATAATATTATATTTAAGCATGCAAAACGGTCTCCCGTAAAACATCAGTTCAACTCACCTTCATCTCAAAGCAGACTTTGCCTTTAGAAACTCCATAGGAGGCTCTCCCCCCAGCCCAAAGGAAAGCAAAGCTTTCCATGGTCAGAGAGGAAGCACTAAACCGGTCTCTTGAGATTTTAAAATGCAGGTCACAGTTATCTGTTGACATAAAAATCATTCTGTTTACTCTTATTACAAGATAAAGTACAGCTGTCCAATTTTATGCATTAAAGGCGATTTCAGCTTTCAAAGTGATTTTTAAGACAAACCGCCAGCAAGTGCTCAGCATCTTTCAGGAAAGCAACTGAGCACATACCTAGATGGAGCTGCAGGCTGAAGCTCAGCCAGAAATCTTAGGGAAAGCTAGCTAACAAGAGTAATTTTCACAGTGCCATCTTGACTTCTGTCATCAAATTCCCTCTATTTTTTCCCATCTGCTTAAAAAAAACTCAATTTCATCTCATCTATTTAAATCTTTTTTGTCAGTTACCTGAGAGACTTACACCAATATAAAGCAAAGGACTCTGCATCATGCTCTCTGCATCATTTGCTAGGTACCATTTTTGAAGTCATCTTACCCCTTGTGCCCAAACCTAAGGGCACCTGAGAAGCAAATAGGAGCACAAGTATTTTTAAGTACTGAAAGTAGTACTGCCTTTGGTTAATATAGTCAATTAGCAAGTCCAATTAGATTAAGCCAATTAAAATGAAGTCAGCTAAGTCAAGTGCGGATAGGTTAAGCACACAGATTGTGGTAAGAGAACCTACTTCACCTAAGAAACACGATCTACACTATGAATTCACCTATCGCTCTAAGAACTTAAGAGGTATCTTTGTTTTACAGACATCTTCAGAGCCACAGGACTATGAAATTTCAAATTAGTCTTCTAGTAGGTTTCAAAAAGACATTGCAAAATGGTAACACAGGTGCAGGGTATAGCACTTCAATTCCCCAGAGCAAAGAATCCATAGAAGAAACTCCAAACCTCTTTGACGGTTACAAGGAAGGAGCGAAATGAGCAGGCAGCGAGTTCTTCTGCCCTGGTATAAAAATCTGCATGCTGCTAGAGTACACAGAAATGCAGTCTTCCCTGTATTACTGGTAACTCTCATGCATGAGATCTTGTTTTGTTTGCATACAGCCAGCCACAGTTGCAACTACAATATCTGGTATTCATGTGTTTTCTCATTAGTACTCCCAAATTTTATTTGTGGCATTGAAACCAGATAAAGCATACAAAAGAAACCCACCTGTGTAGGTTACTTTTAGAACAACAAATGAGAACAGAATTTGAAGTTACATCTTCCTTGTAAGACACAGGTAATAAAAAGCACTTAAGAGTGCTAAACCTCTTATATGTCTGGATCATTATGGTCCAGAAAAGAGAGCGCCAAGTTGTTACACAATTCAGACTTAAAGCTATGTTGGATTCTGGTATCCAAGCTGTCTGTTGATACTTTAGAAAAACCTTCTACTAGAAATAATAGCAATATTGGAAAGTAGCTACTACTCAGTTATTGAGAAAAATCAGAGGCTACTGCAAAGGTGGCTACTCACCAGGTTAGCAGGTAGAAACTTGAGATTTAGTTACCAAAATGTCAAGGATGGCATATTCAGCAATTTATGTGGCTGTAAGCTAACACCTCCTTCCATTTCCCAAGGTTTCTTGAGGAAAAAAACCCCACCTGGAACTATTGGCAAAGATGCCAGATAATGCCAAAATTTAAGCCTTCCTTCCATGACACTAAGAATCCAACAAGTTCAAGCATCACTTATTCAAGTTTTCTACTAGTGCACTAAGTCCTTATACTTACCCTGAAGAAAACAAATGCCAACTTTGCCCCAGTCATGGTACATCACAGTAACATTTACAGCCTGTTGCAAAAACCTCCACTGTTTGCAGGTCCTTGTCAATTTCCGTGCCCTTGCGACCAATTGTCTCTGCCATCCCATTTGCACAAATCACAACATCCCAACACCCCACCCCCCACAAACTCCCAGGTTGCATGAATGGGTAATTTTTCATGAGGCCTTGCCTGATTTTTTTGTTAAAATTATTAGAAAACATAGAAAAAAATACTCCACTGGTTGGTACATGAATAGGGCCTCAGCAAGTCATGCCGGAAAATCACTTCACAAATTGTACTACTGTAACCACCTACACTATTGATCCTCAGAACTTTCTGAAGGGAAAAGCTCATGTGCTATACAATTAGTTTCTCAAGCTGCTTCCAGGGTGTTCTATGCTTACGCTACACTTGTCCAGCTTAGTTTCCATACTAGATCAGCATTTTGGTTAGTATTTCTTCAGAAAACTTTAAAAAAAAAATCAGACTTCGTGGGAAAAATCAAGCTTATTACTGCTAATATAAAGACCCATATATCCTTCTGTTCTTTTGTATACTGAAAAGAAAACTTAAAAAAAAAAAATCAGACTTCATGGGAAAAATCAAGCTTATTACTGCTAATATAAAGACCCATATATCCTTGTTCTTTTGTATACTGAAACAGGGTGGAAGCACCATTTCTCATTTTTTAAAAAAAGTTACTTTGTTATGAAAGTCAACATGTGTTCACCCCACATTTCAGAAAGTGTGGGTTTAAGCATAACACCACAACTTTCCAAAGTAAAGGAAAGCATGTTTACTCACAAGTATCAAGACAAACCACTGTGTCATCAAAATGTTCATCTTCTTCTTCAACAGGTGGTTGAGGGGACTTGGCCCTGTACAAAACAAAACCAAAACAAATAGAAGATAATAAAGCTACTCGTATTTTCACTGTTGAAATAGGCATCTCTGTACTTTGCTTGTTGTCATTCACAAAACGCTGCCCAGCGTCAAGTTTATGTACCTGCTGTACTTATTTTCCTCAATGTATTCAAAATATCCACGGCCATGGTCTTCACGTGGTCTCTTCACTCCCCTCTTTTTCTCACCAGGTTTCTGCTCCGTTTTAGCATCTCCTGCAACAGAATTAATGATTTATTTTAATTACACAAAGTAACTCTTTAATCGGGAACAAAATCCTATACAGCAAGTCCAACTTTGGAAACCGTTAGAACCTACAGGACAAGAAAAGCAGTAATACCCTAAAGAAGAATTTTGCTTTGTACCAGGACAAAAACCCCTATCTCGAATTTTCTCAGAAGGTTAAAAACTTGTCTGCTACATCATCTCTGACCTGCGACAGAAGCGGCCACCACACCACGCAGCAGCTGGTACAGTCCCCGATGTCAACATTCCCACAGAAAAGCCAGACCGCTCCCAAGCGGTGGAAAAAAAAAACAACCCCTCACAACAAAATCGGACAAAAAAGCCCTCCCGCCCCGACCGCGGGGCGCTCCCGGCCGCTCGCTCGCAAGGACACCGAGCGACCCGCACGACTGCGCCTCCTCTCGGCA